GTAGTCGTAGTCGTAGTCGTAGTAGCAGCAGTAGTAGTAGTAGTAGTAGTAGTAGCAGTAGTAGTAGTAGTAGTAGTAGTAGTAGTAGCAGGAGTAGTAGTAGTAGTAGTAGTAGTAGTAGTAGGAGAGGAGCACGAGGAGGAGGACGAGGAGGTCCTTGCCAGGTCGGGCTTCCCAAAGTTCTTGGGAGAAGCGTGCTCCGTCTGACCACAATGTTCACGAGCGCTTCGTCGCGGCCAGGTTATCGGATCCCTCATTGACCTGGACTGCTCGGAAGACTTCATCAAGACGTTGCTGCAGAATGTCGTGGCCTTTATCGCAAGGTTTGGAGTTTCGGGAGTTGAGCCTGGATTCGAAGTGGGGTCAGCAGAAGTTGAATAAGAACGACCAGAGGCGAACTTGCAGAAGGTGTTCTGAAGCGCCATTGGGCTGCATGCAAACCGTGGGCAAACACCTGAGTTGGTGCCATCCCATACACCACGGTGAGCAGAGCTTGACTACGATAGCCACTTGGGTGCTTTTTTACGCCCTCATGAATGACCGGGTGACGTCCCATCATGCACTTGAGACTTCATGACAGAGCGTTTCCGGTCCAGGGTCTACAGAACAAACAAGGCGCAACGAACTGCCTCCAGAGCTTTCAAGTCTAAATGCAGCATCACGTCTTATCCGCTTGGCTTACAGCTATCAAGGTCCATCCTCAGCCCCCCAACTCCCAAATAGCACCAACAAGAACATGAACGTACGGTAGAATGGTACATCCAACAAGGTGCGGGCCGCTTGCCCGGCAGAGCCCTTGGTGGAGCAGATCGAAAAAAGGCCTCCTTCGACTTGAGCTTGCGAAGTTCAGGGTCTGCAGGGGCTGTCTGAGCTAGACTCTGCCAGTGCTGGATGCGACGACCGTAATCAAGCAGCAACACTAGAAGCCATCGACTCTCTTGCCGCCCAATTTATCCATATCACGTACGAGCACGAACCGTCTGCAGCACACCTTGTCAAAGATGTCAAGACCCCTTCAAAGAATTAGTTTAAAGTTGAGAGGAATCGCTTGCGTCTTCTTCTGCCCTGGCTGGAAGCCCGCGTCGCTGAGGGCAACCAGGACAAACACGCTTAGGGGTGCAGGTATTACATGAGTCCCCCGTGTTTCAGTCCAGGGTCCTGTCATGCTTTGGGGCTGCAGAGTCTGGAGATAGTTTAGCTGTGGGGGCTTGCATGGCCGCTTGAAGATCTTACACCCAAAAAAGCCTGATCAGCAAACACCTGAGCATGGCCTGTGAGGCTTAGGGTGAAGGGTCTTTAGGGCCTGTGAGATACAGGGCATGAAGCTTTCGGATGCTAGACTGCCGTTGCTTCGCACATATTGGTTTCAGCTAGCTCTTGGCTCAGCCGCGATGGGACTTGGAGCAAAAGGAGGCCCCAAAGCACTGAAGCCCAAGAGCATGGAATTTCGGAGCGCCTGGAGGTAAAAAGCTCAGGACTAAGTCCCAAACGTGGGCTCCTTCGCCTTACCATCCAAACCGAAACCTTCGGCAGCGCACGGAAGCCAATCCCCGCAACACCGGCAGAGAACAGGATCCACACTTGCACAACGCTATGGCAAAGCTTTGCTCCCAGTGTGCGTGTTCTCGGCTCCGAATGAGATTTCCTGGCCTCTTTTCAGACATGTTTCAGAGGTCCCAAGTGGTCGGTACATAGTTGCGGAGGGTGTCGTGGCTTGAGGAGTGTTAGGCTCGGGTTGTAGAGTTAGCATTGGATTACTGGACGTCTTCTACGACTTTCGACGCCGGAACTTCAAGCCTGATCTCTTCCACCTCATGCACACATTGCGACATTTGGGATTGTGCTCCCTCCGACACATCTTGGGCCAGCTGGCTCTCAGCAGTGGGCTCCAGGGGTAATCCAGGGCATCCCTGATGGCAGTTTGCAGCTGCTCATCTCGTTGCTTGTGCCAGTACTGACGTCAAGAAAGATCAGCTTGTCAATTAGCACCAGCACTATCCTATCACCATCAATGTCAGTGTTCATTTAGAGCTGGTGTTCAGCTTCGGACTCCTTGATTGCCCAAAGCCTGATAGGCGCGGACCATTTGCCACAGCCCAACACAACCCATGAGAAGCTTTGATTCCTCTGCACAAGAGCCGAGGATCCTCATCGACACCAACAGGGACCCCGAGAACTTCTTGAAGACAAACGCTTTCTACGATTCCAAAATCGTGGGCAAGTGGGTGGCCTAGACTCGGGAAGGGGCAAGTTTGGGCCCAACTGCAAGGTATTTCTGGGATCATTGGTGATGTTCTCGACGAGCTTGCACGTGTGCGGACTCTTATGATGACTGTGCGTGAGTGTAGACTACAAGCATTCAGCATTCCGTGAAATGTTCTGGACGCGATATTCAGAGCCTGGGGGTCCGGCTTTGTGAAACATCGAGGCTTGCCCCTGCTGTGTACAGTTTTCGTCATCCGAGCACCTTTGCATAGACGCATAAACGGCAGAATCCTTTCTATGCGTGCCTCTTACGAATGCTACCAAGAGTACTAGCGCCGCTAGCACTACTAGCTACTAGCAGTACGAGTACGACAAATACTAATACTACTCGAACTGCTCGTACTAATAATGCTACAAGCACTACGAACACAAAACAAGGTGCTGGTGGTGAGTAGTAGTAGTAGCAGTGGTGATACCACCGCTACACTGCCGCTACACCATTACTACCAGAATCACCACAACCGGAAGGTCTAGCACCGATAGCAAGCTGCCTCATTATATTGGCAACAGGGACCACCAAGCTAGCTTCGCAAAACCTCTGTGAGTGATGTTTCTCCGTCGTGCATGGTCATCGAATATTGGGCAATGTCCGAGTGAAGAATTCGATACTTTGCCTCGCAAGGCAGACCTAGATGCAGAAGGCTTCAGGCGACTTATATTCAGTGCGTCACATGGCAAACTCTTGTAGAATGCGTTGGAGCATGGAAATCACGGGGTAGGCTCGCCGCCAACAGCCAGAAGCTAGATCGAACCCCTTGCAAGGTACTGCGAGGACCGCGACCCCCACTTGGCTTACACCGCCAGGATCCGAGCCTGGGGCAGCGACCCCTTCCGACCTGAGCAAATGGGGACGAAAGATCGAGTTTCGATTGGTTGACGAACTGTTCAAGCAGTATAGCCGTATAGCAACAATGGGTACGCGAGTTATCACGAACGCAAGAGACAGAAAGGGCTCTTGCCGGAGGATGCAGCAGCTCCATCAGACCTGTCATGCCCCGAACTCCTCCCTTCACCCTGACGTCCTGGGCGTCCGCTCATCAGCCCGAAGTCCCAATCCTTAACATGGGGGGGCGGGGGGCGGGTTAGATTTTGAGGTTTTCATGGTGACGATACATGCGTGTTTCTTTAAGCTGCAATGCTGTGCTTTGTGCTTGTTTCAAAGAAGGCCGTGAAGTTCTTGGGATGCCGGTATTCATGTTTCGAATCCTTAGTCACAGCCCTCAGCAGCCCTGAAGGCCCATATGCGGCTGGAGACTCCCAGCTGAGACCAATGTCAATGTGCCTCCAGCCCCTCAGAAATCCTAGAGTCCGATTGTCCGAAGTCTCACAACGCTCGGCTTTCCAAATCACTCCGAGCAATTCGATGATCGTGAAGGCACATGCCGAAAGCTGCCAACAGTTGTACGAAGTCTTATCCGCGAAGGCTTACAAGCGGGCCTGGGGCTCCTGCGACGAGGCCAGGCCTGTTTTGGGGTGTCTGAGCGGTCTCATGCTGCCTGGGGCAGCCGGGGCATGGGGGCCTCTACTCGTAGCAGCAACCTCGTTGTGAGGCAGTGCGAAGGATGCTTACGCTACGAGTACGGGGAGTTTTCATTTGTGCATAGCTGGCAGCAGCACGGATGCAGTCGCACAGAAAGACAAGTGATTGCACTGAAGCTACAAGTAGCTTTCGTACATGTCTTCTCAAACCTCGACGGCATTGAGAACAGAAGTTCACTAGTAATAGCATGGGAATTATGGGTTTAGAGATTTGCTTCCTGGTTCGAGGGTTTCACCACAGAGTAAAAAGGTCTCCACACCCTAGACTGACAGCCGCAGCCGTCCCAAACGGACCAGGGTGCAGATTACTTTCGGCCTGAAGGTCACCCATGAAGACTCGAGCTGTTTCGTAGGTCTGAAACCGAAAGCCTCTAAGTCAGACTGCACTTGAAGCCAAAGTACTTAGTCCTGCAATCGTGAAAGACAGCAATTGACGAGTGAAGCGGCTTCTGGGCTTCCCCATTCGGGACCCCAGGGAAGCGAGGATGCTAGTTCGAAGCTCTGCAACATGTCCTTTTCTTACAAGACAACCGTACGGGCTAATCTGTAGGTCCAAGGCACCTAAGCATTTCCACAGCGTTGCGAACTTTTCCCTCCTTCAAGCCTTCAGCTGTTGTTTGCATGTCGGCCCCTAAACGTTTGGTTCTCTTAGGATTAGGATGATCAGGTTTAGGGTTCAGGCTCTTTGAGTCGGACTCGAGCAGTTGCCCAAGAACTTCTCGACGTGTCGGATCAAGGATCCCAGGTCCTGGGGCTGCTTCAAGTCAACAGCTCTGTTTGCACCTCCAACAGGCCTACAGCTCCTGCCTTCTCAAGCCTTATTCATTCTGCGCCCGAGCACCCAGTCAGCCTCACCCAACTCTGTGTGAACTGCCAGCAACTCGTCGACGTCACGAACCGCAACGGCCTCTTCCGTCTGCAAGCAAGGCTCCTGTTGACAGTTTTTGTTCTTGTAGCGTTTCGGGGCATGACGATTGCAATCCCGCTCAAGCGAGTGCTGTCATGGCATAGCTATTGACGATATTGTTCCTTTCATTTGCAGCCGGAACACATCGACAGGTGCGAAAGAGACCATGAGAATGAGGCCCTGAATCAACAAGACAATACAAACCAATCTTCAACTCACAACAAGCCCGGATTCAGCATGTTGAAAGCCCTGCGGACCCGTCGTAGCGTCAACCAGCCACTATAGTCGGATGTTCCCGTAGATGCAGGACCAAGTTGCGAGTATTTCTGCAGGGACGGAAGGGAATTCGAAATCACAGAGCCTCCAAGTCTCCAAACCTTTCTTTGGCATAATTATTTAAGCACGCCGCAGTCCCCGCCAACAGACAACGCTGGCAACAGCCGGAATGACGACAACCAAGCATGCAACCGACACAGGTACCCGACGCGAGTAAAGTTGGCAATACAAGCAAGCGTCACAACAGCAAGAGCGACAGCACAGTGACAGGTCGTTTCTACGACTTACATACAGGGCAACCCTCAACGCAGCAGCACAAAAAACACAGCACATGCGCAAATAAAACGAAAGTAACCGTGTGCATCATCATCAACATACTTGTCGTCGTCGCGTTGTCATCATCATCATCATCATCTTCATCATCATCATCATGATCATAATCCTGATCATCGTCATCATCATCATCATCATCGTCATCATCATCGTCATCATCATCGTCATCAACAACGTCAACATCCTTGCCGTCGTCGTTGTCATCATCATCATCATCATCACAAACATCATCATCATCATCATCGTCATCATCATCATCATCATCAGTGTCGTCATCGTCCTGATCGTCATCATCGTCATCGTCACCATCGCCCACCACCAGAACAACAGCGACGACAATGACGACGCCGGCAGTCATTTTCCGTCTTGTGCTACTTCATTTTTCCGCAGTATTCTCTGGTGGGAATCGTGCCACGTTCATCGTTCCTGCTTTCGCACTACAGTGGTGTATGCACGTTAGCAGCATGACCAGGACTCCTCGAATGCTTCCGTCCGGAAAAGTTGTGAGTGGATCAAGATTGCAAGAACTACTGCTATCACGACTTCCTTCCCACTTGCGTGTGGCTTAAAACTCGAAGCCTGCAGACACCGGGTGTGCATCAGCTTGAACCTCAAACCTCAGCACGAACCTTGAGCCCGAATGCTCGACATTTTCACAGGGATTGACAGCTCTCGAACAACCCCTTTGATCAAACAGGTATCTTGTGGAGCGACAGAGCCCTGATCTTTGGGGCTTGGTGCTGAACCCAGAGAACCAGGACCGGACTGGGGTGTAGTGCTTAAAGCTCGGTGCCGTGACTGCAAGGTTCGGGCTTCAGAAGCCCACATGCAAGGGTTTTGAAGAACCTTGGATGAAGCTTCAAGGTTTTATGTGTCGCATGCCTTCAGGTGAACCATGGCCCCATGGTAGAGACAAAGCAAGTTAGTAGCAGCAAATGCTGGCAAAATGTGCTGCGCCCTAAGAGCCTGATCACGAACAAGCAAGGTTTTCGATGGTCTCAGGGTGTTCTCATCATGCCCATCTCGTAGTCTTTCTCACCGCTCAGAACCTTACCTTGAGAAGCATGGCCCATCTTCCCGACACCCCTAGCCCCTAAACTTAAGCTCCAGCCCGACGAGCAGAGCCTATCTGCACAAGCGCTATCGGCTTCAGCTCCCGGTTCTGGGTGGGTGGTGCAATACTCCTAGCAGCGCAAGAAAACTAGCATCAGCAATCATTCTTCTTCATCCTTTGGGTTCCCAGTGGTGAAGCGGAAGCGGATGTTTGCCCGGTGCAAAGAGAGGCCGGTTTCTGCGAAAAATTAGCTCTAGCATGAAAGCTTCACCGCGATCAGACTCCGAGCTGCCAGCAGTAATGCCTCACGTGAGGATCCGGCAAACGCCGACAGTGGCCCTAGTGATCTGAAACCTTTCGAAGTTTAGGTACGACGGTTTGCTCACATTGGCAGGAAAGCATGGTTGCAACAAGACCTGCCGTACATCTCGATGTACTCCCCACCCTGTTCCCCACCCCTGGACTGCTTGCGCGAGTACCGGCGCAACGTCATCGACCAAGTCGTTAGCACAGCACTGCCGGAGTCGACCAATGCGGACGAGGTTCATCTGCTTGGAAGGATTTCAGACTTCAGAGATTCCAAGTACAGGCCTTTGTGACGTCGGCTACCATGTTGTACCACATGATTTGATGGGTTTCGAGAGTCTTTGCATAAGGGCTCATGCTCTGGACAAAAGCATCGCAACGCCTGCAGAAAGCAGCTCTGGCTTAACAGTTGAAGGTTGCCAGCCCTTGGCGAGTAGGATGTTTACTATTCTGGGCAGAGCCAGGTATTGTGGTTTGGGTCTGTCGCGTTTTTCTGCTGTCGGTTCGTCAGAAGTCTGCCTTAGCCTGCGCCTGGTGCGGGTTCTGAGCCGGCTTTCAAAGACATGTCGCCCACGTGTCCTCATGTAAAGGCCGTTCATTGTTTGCACACTGTCGGTTGGTCGCCCGATTGTCCTGCGGTTTCTTGGTTCATGATGTGGTCTTGCCTGTCATTTGTGTTTGGTTTCTCGTTTCGGACGCAAGTGAACGCCCTGGGGCGCGGTCTGTCAGAGTTTCGGCATGCTTCGGAGATATCACGGGCTTGTCTCCAGGTGTTGAACGCCCTGGGGCGCGGTCTGTCAGAGTTTCGGCATGCTTCGGAGATATCACGGGCTTGTCTCCAGGTGTTTCACTTCATGAGTCTGGTGTCAGTTGACTTCAAGCTGAAACATGCCAAAGGCTTGAATGCTGGTTGTGGCTTGGTTGTTTGAGACACCAGATGTGCGGATCTGCGCTTCGGCCTTGATGAGGAAGCCTTGAATTACCACAGTTCTGAGTCCAGGTGAGTGACTCCCAAGACACGTACTGACTTCAAGCTGAGCCATGCCATGGGGTTGTGATGCCTGTCGGCTGGGTGGTTTGGGTCTCCGGATGTGCTTTTCTGGCGGGTCGGCAAGTGGCCTTGATGAGGTGTGGAGGCCGTGAATTTCAAGCTGAGCCATGTCGAAGGATGGTGAACTATCGTACTGCACGACCTCACACGACAAGCATGATGGTGACAGGAGCAGCAGTTTCGGTTGCAGTGACAGTGGTGACAATGAACGTGAGGAACGATGTGGTTGCTGGAATTGATGACGATGATGGCTGTGATGGGGTTGAACATGACCGCAGTTAGAGTTGTAACTGACAGTCGTGATGGATGTAAGTTTGGTTCCTTTCTATTGATTATCTCAGTCCGTGCACCTTTCATCCCACTGATGTTCCCAAGCTCTTCGGTTTGAAGGTGTCTGCCACGGTGAAGGCCTTCATCAGCACGCCCCTGAGGGTGACTTCGGGTCGGTCTCCTTGTCAGTGAGCTTTTCTGCTAATCCCTGAGTGCACAGACACGCGAACTGGTGAGGCTCGTTTGACTCATGCCAGCAAGAAACGTTATTGAATTTACAGGATCACAGACCTTGGATCTGAAGCCCAAATGCCGAAACTACGGGGGTTAAGGGCTTGGGGTTGAGCTTGAGTTTGGCCATCTTTTCCCCTGCCCAGAGCATCGACATGCCCCAACAACGGCCAGCTATTACTGATGGCATGAGAAGCTGCAGATGCAGCAGCAGATTCAGATTAAACAAATGCCGCAGCCAATGCAGAAACTCCAGCAAATGCAGCAGCAGATGCAGCAACAAATGCAGCAACAAATGCAGCAACAGATGCAGCAACAAATGCAGCAACAGCAGGAACTGCAGCAGCAGCAGCAGCAGCAGCAGCAGCAGCAGCAGATGCCAACACCCAGCACCGCCACCACATCGACGCCAGAAGCGGCAACGGCACCGCCACAAGCAGAAGTGCACTGGCAGCAAGGCATGTCAGTGTGAAGGTTTCGACGTCCAAGCTTCGAGGTGCCGACCTGCCGAACGAGCTCATTGAGCTGCTGGAGAAGCGTCCCGGCTTCTTGAGGAGGGACTATCGGCCTGGCAGGACCTCAGGAGGTCCTTGCCAACTTTTCAACCATTCACTTCCGAAGTTCCACGGCCCAGGACCCCACATGAACACTCCCACGACCCCGTTCAACCTTCTTCGCATGGGCCCGTCATTCCTCTGCCAGCAAGCCTACATTCTGAAGTTTTGTACGGAGTAAGGCGAATCTGGCTTAGAAGGGTGGCGGATACTGCAGAGGAACTGCAGCGGCACTCTACGAACACGGAAAGCATCGGAAAGCGGAGGGCTGCAGTCTCGAAGGTATGTTCAGTTTAGACGTGAGCTTCGGAGAAGTTCGAGTCGCAATGCAAATCTCCACCAGCACCGCAGCCCGGAGCCCCAACTCCGAATGCGAACACGAATGTTGAACAGCACCACTACAAACAGGATCTAAGCTGTCATGGAGCGCGATTTCGCGTCCATTCCTTGGCCAAGGATTGTGCTCCACAACTCTGACTTCAGTCCGGTCCTTGTGGCCTCTGTCGAAGTGATCTTTGCCAAGAGCCGCAACTCTCACAAGTGTCGAGATTCGAAATATGTAGGACACCTTCGGCACGAAACCCAGCGGCACATGTGTTCAATCCCGAGCCGTGAGCCCGCAAACCCCAAGTACTTTTGTAGCTGACACACCTTCAAAGGATCTTGGCCAGAAGGTGTGGCAGCTTTCTGTTGACGGTTTGGGTCGTAGAGGACAAGCTCATGAGCCCCAAGCCAACAAAGCAGAGCGCACACCTGTCAAGACTCTCAAGACCCCAGCCACGAGCAACTGCACTCTCATCCTCTTCATGCTCATCCCCAGACAGTTCAGCATCTGAAAACAGAAGCCCTCTGAGACCAGAATCCGACAAGTACACGTCCGACAGGCCATCCAATTGGCACCCCGGGCTCTAGAGACTAAGCCCAAGAATCGCGTAGTTTCACAAAGTAGACTGTCGTGGCAGGGCATCAGCAGGACAGAAGGAGACAAGAGAAATCAGTGCGAGACCTCCAGTACATGTCAGCGGGTCTGAGAAAAACTCGTATTCTGTTGTATAGGCCATACCATGGCCTGGGACCCAGCCACGGGAACTTTCAGGCAAGAACCGAAACCTCCAGAACCTGCTCGTGCTTACAGCCATCAAAGCTGACAAGCTGCTGCCTTGGTGTGGTTGGCTTCTCCACTTTGTGGTTTCTGGCCCTGAGGGCATTGAAATTGAAACGTCTTTCACAGCTGGCTTAGGAGTGTCAACGCGGTACGCCCTACATCTTGTTCTCTACGAGTCGAGGTATTCAGATTATCTGGCAAGGGCAGGATGGGGAGCACCTGAGGTTTGGGGCATCAGGCTTTGAGGGCTGAGGTTTGAGGATGCCGCATGCCTCTGTTTTTTTTTTTTTGGGGGGGGGGGACTTAGATGCACTTGGGGCACCTGAACTCATGAACCTCGGAGGGAGTGCGGATTCGTGTGATAAGTCCGCACACCGCCAGTCCTGAAAGACGTTAAAGGTCGCTGCAAAGGGGTCAGTTTGGCGTGATGTTCAGGTACGAGGTTTGGAGGTTCTGGGAGTTTGGTGCTGCAGGTCTCTGAGCATTTTGAGAATGCCCGCCTTTCTTCCTGTGAATGCATGATCACATAGAGTTCTCTGCCCCATTTTGTTGGTCTCTTGTCTTCCAGGTTCTGTGTCCTAGGCCACAGGTAACGCATGAAATCTAAAGTTTCCAGCCGACACCTTACTTCGGAGGCAGCCATGGCCATAGCATAAACATCCCGCGCGTTAGTTACACTTCTCAGATTTGGCCCCCCTGGAAAACAGCAAAACTATACCTGTAGGGCCTAGATGGCCTTGGCCGTCTTGCCAGGCCCAGGTCCAAAAGCCAACTCGCCAGGCCCATGGTCCTTTCTGAATCTTCAACGTTCCCCTAAACCCTGGCTCCGTCGGCTTCATTGGCACTCTCTGCTGGGCAGAGCGGTGCCAAAACTCTCAGAACCCTGACCGTAACTGGCACGCTTGCACGACAGGGACCGCGTCATGGACTACATCAACCGCCTGGACAACTACGACGGCCCCGAGATAGCAAAGATTGCCTTGGCCCCAGATGCTCCATTTTGGGAAGCCGAAGGGTATCGGGACTTGAGACGAACCCTAGGTCCTAAATCGTTTAGATCTGACTCAGACACCTTCCGCTGAGTCGCTCACTCAGGCCCTCGGCGATCCTTATGGCCTGTACGAGGAGGCGTGCAACGGAGGTGTCAGGCTGTTAGGGATTGAAGTGTTGAGCTAGAGGGTTTTGCTTGTTAAGATTGGCGACCGGGTGCTTTGTTGTTTTCAGTTGATGCTTGGGGACCCAGGGACTTTGGGGCGAATGTGGTGGTTTGTGGTTTCAAGATTTCGGGTTTAGGAGTAGCGAAGGGCTTGAGGGAATTGAGAGGCTCTTACTTTGGTGTTTCTGGAGCTGTCCGATGTTTTTAGCTTTTGCTGCTCGGTGTTGAGCTGAAGGCCAAGCAGGAACTGCTTTGTGCAGCCGGGAGTGGGTTTGCTCGAAGCTGAAGGGAGCGTTGCGGAATGCATCGAAGCCGATGTTCCTCTTTCTTTCCTGAGAGTAGTTGGCTAGAGCCTCTTCGGAATCCCAACATGTGTTGTCTGTCACCGTCGTTCTGATGGTTCGTGAGTCGCAGAAGCGACTTTGCATAGACCGCCACCTGCATCGTGTAAGCTGGTGCGAACCCGACGAATGGCTTCAAGCTTCTAGGCCTGGGGCAGGATTTTGGAGCTCCGGACTGTTGCTGCCAAGGTCCTATCCTGATGTAGAGTTTCACCTTTTGCAACATCATACAGCCGAAGGCTTTCATCATCTACAAGAAGTGCGGCCAGAATGCTGAAGCAATGGAGTCCTCCACTCGGGTCTTGTCTTGGGGGCCTATATACCCTCTGCAGCCCGAACCCTGCACGCCTGAACCCTTATCTTCAACCCACCTCCCTTGACCCGAGGCCCTAATCACAACACGCAGAGCCTTACGGATCTTACGGACCGAGCCCTCACACCAGATTTTCTTGGCTGTGTACTACATGCTGCAAGGGCAGAAGGAAGAGCGTCAGGTGTCTCTTTCAGTACCTGTGACAGGGGGTTCCGCGGTTGAGGCTGGCTCGGAGTCTAGGCCCTGAGCTTTCTATACACTAAGGTGTGATATGTTGACATCAGGGATTGACAGTCAAATTGTGTCTACAGACTCTGGCTTCCTGATCCTCTTCCACTTCTGCCAAACTATAGAGTGATTTTCATCCGTGTAGGCTCCTCAGCGTATATGTTACTGGCGAGAGTTTCGGGTTTTGAGCCTCGCATTGACTTACCACAGCCTGAGAACCTTCACGACGAAGCGCAGGAATTCTCAAACCACCCCTTCAACCCTAAACCTCGACCCCGAATCCACCACCTTCAGCCTTCTACACCACAAGCATGAGACCTTAAACCCCAAACCCATCGACGAAAGACTTCCGCAACGCAGGCCATGCCTTTACCCGAAAGTTCCAACAAATCCCTCCAAGAACTACCAAAGCGGCATGGCATCAGGACCCGACAAACCAAGCATGCACATATTCGCGCTTGACTGCCTATCAAGCCATCGGCCTCAGAACCGCTCCATGTAAAGTCGCCCCATACAGACACTGTACGAAAGGCTTCGAAAGCCACTGAAGCCTCATTGTGTGCCCAGTGTGCTCCTGGAGAACATCAGCTCGCTGGAGCGGGCACAGGAGTTTGCAGCACGCATCAACGACAAGACGGCCGGGAGAGGGGTTGGGGGAAGTTGGAGGTTGCCTGTTGCCAGGCTTCTTGATGGGATTGGAGGTTGTTGGGTCTGAAGGTGCAGGGTTGCGAGTTGCAGGTATCAATCTTACTTCCAAATTCCACTGCTTTGCAGTTATGAGTCCTTTGCTCGGACCTGTGGTTCAGGTAGAGGCACTGTGAAACTTGAGATGCCGGGAAGTCCTTCGAGCCTACGACGTAGGCCTCGGCACTCTCGATTTCGCACCGAAGGCTCTTTTTTTTGTCGTGGGCCTTGAGTTTGTGCCTTTGAGCTGCAGTTCCGTACGGTATCGTGTCCTCGAGCCTGCGGGCGCCTGCGGGCGCTTGCAGCTTACTACTGGTTGCGTGACGAAGACAGTTCCAGAACAGTGTTCCCCCTGCTCCGCATCCCCATCAAGTTGTTCTGGTGTGAGCACCTGCTCTTTCTTATTGATGAGTGAGGAATGTATTTAGGGCAGTTTAGGAATACGTGAATTCTAGACCACCTCACACAGCAGATTGTGCATGGATCTGAGCACCTGAGACCTGACTTGAATCAGTGCACTTCGTCTCCCAAGATACATTGGCAGCGCAAGCTCGGATGTTCTCTGATTCCGTCTATACCGCGCTTCAGGCTAGAAATCAAGGCTTCGATCCTTTAGGGTTTGGGGCGAAGGGGGTCGCCTTTGGGTTGAGCCCGTGAGGTGTGGTACAAGCTCGGCAAGGCCCAGCTGGAGAACGGCAGCGTGTGGCACTGAACTTGTGGCTGGGTTCGTGGTCCCACTTGCCGGCTCAAGCATTGGAATCTTGTGTACTTTGCATGGCAAGCGCTACTGGAGTCATATTTAAAATTTGCTGCTGAATCCTGATGTATGCGCAGATGGCTGAGGATTTCACTCGCTCCGCCTTAGTTCCCCAGTCCTTACGGCTTACGCTCTGCAGCCTCAGCAAACCGAGCATCGAGGTAAAAGCTCCAGTGTGATTCAGAGCGCAGAAACACGAGGATCCAAGCGCCGATCATCCACCAACGCTGATGCAAGGTCTAACACTAGGACCTAGGATCAGTGTAAAGCAAGTCCGCAATGCCTAGTTCAGGTTCAAAGGACACTAGGAACAGTGCCGCAAACGTTGCTCCTTCAATCCTCCTGATGCCGAAGCTCCTTAGAGCCTGAAAAACGAGGACCCCAGAGCCGCTGAGGTGCCCGAGGCAGTGGATTCTTACCTAAAGGCTGAGGATGCCACGGACTACTTGGAGGTGATCCAGGCGGCTGAGGGCCTTCGGGTCCTGGGTAGCGCTTTGGGGCAGGGTTTGAGATTCGGGAGAAGGGTCATGAATGGAGCTACAAACAGCCGCAAGGAGTCTGCAGTAACAGGGTCGCGAAGACCTGCGGCTTCTTTCGCGATCCGGAGTTTTTCACTGTAAATCTTATTCTGGGCGTAGGGGTTCTCGGCTGTTCTGCGACATCCGCGTGGGAACGGGGAGAAGCTCTGCGATGCACATTGCGCGGTGCGTGTAGCAACTTGGCCTGTGAAGCCTGACACCATACCCTTATGGTGGGAAGCACGGCCTCGATGGTGCTGTTGCTGGCTCTCAGTGGTAGGCAGTGGCATGCTGCTAGCTGCCCTCCTCACTGCCGCACCGCATAGCTCAAGCAACCTGATTAAGTCAGGCTCAAGGCATCTTCAAGCCGTCTAGGGCATTTGTGAGCTTCCGTTCATCCCTGACATAGAGTGTACAGCCAAGCTCGACGCAATGCATGCTGTCCTCCGCAGCTTGCGCACATCGCCTCGACACCTTGTTGCTGGGTGCGAGGCCGGACAGCAGATCCGAAGCGTTCTTCAAGTAGGTTCGGAAACACAACGACACCTTGAAAAGCTTAAGCCTAACCACAAGCGTGATATCACAGAGGGCTCCTGTTGAATTCGGGATCGAGTTTCAATTTTTTTCTTTGCCCTGAGCTCCTGTAGATTCGGGACAGTCCCGGCAGAGCGTTTAGGGTTTAGAGTTCGGGTAGGCTGCAGTTCGCCCAGTCAGTCCGCAGGATGACCTGGTGACCTTAACGTGACAAGGGCCATCCACCTGGGACACGTTCAGTGATTACAGTAGTTGACTGAGTTGATTGGTGCAAGAGGCCCAGGGCTTCAGGGGCTTGAGCTGCTCACTCCCTCGAACAGCGTAGGCTCAAGGGTTGAAGGTGGATGTGCGATTTCTGGTTTTGGATGGGTCAGGTTTCTGCTCCTGGCCTTCACGCACCCCTGGCCCCGACCTTGCCCTTAATCCTCCGAGCTATTGTGATGCCTAGCCTTCGGAGGAATCTGCAGAATCGAATCGTTACAGCCGTCTTCAGGGGCAAGCACACAACTATCCCAAGACATCGTCAGTAATTTCCTGACGACCTACCTCCAGGAGACAGTATCCGAAGGCCCATACTTGAGAGCATGAGAGCAGGACCGCTTGAACCGCCGCCGTTCGTTTCGGCTTTGGCTTACCCCTCAAGCTAGGCTCCGCCACTGAGCGCAATGCAAGGCCCTTGCGGAAAGCCTTCGAACAACTTTGTCAAGCCCTAAAGATTGGCTGCAGGTAGACCCTGCCTTTCCGGGTACATCGCTGCAGCGGCTTCGAAGTTGTCACCGGGCTTCAGCTGCGGTCTTCGGTCTGCCAGGATTGTTAGTGTTTACGAGTTCAGGTGTTTACCGCTTTTGGGTCGTTTGCGTCTGCCTCATGTTCAATCTCGTGAAGAGGTACACCAATCGTGCACGCCGGTCTGGCTGCACACCTGAACACGGTTTTGGGAAGTTTGAGTTTACTACAACGTGGAAAACCTAAGCCTCTCATCCCGCAGCCCCGAAGCCTCAAATTCTTGAGCCCTAGAGTTGACAGGTATTGCCGACCGTTGAGGGAACAAGCTTTGAGTCTTGACGTGTAGACTTTTGGCTGGGCGCCTCAAACATATGCAGGCACCAAAGATGCGCCCACAGCAATTCGAGAAAGGTCACCTCCGCCTTCTCTCATTGGCACATGAAGATCTTTGTGCAGATTGGGAGGCCACCTCCTGGCCAGCTTGCAGCTTGGGTGGGCTGGCGGGATTTTGCATCGGTGTTTTTCGAATGTGAAGCTTCATGAATGATCAATTCCCCCGTTCTGTGCCCCTCTCGTGCGTGAGTGCCTGATGTCAGGTGACGGATGTAGAGTAACAGGTGTGGGCCTTCAGCAGTTCGGAGGCCCTCAAGCTGTACGCTCTAGTGTAATGTAGTGTATACTTGCATGAATGCGTCTCAGCCTGATTGAGTGTCCAGGAGCTGTGTCGTGCACGCTTACATAAACTCGAATCTCTCCGTGTTGGCTGCCTGGCCGCGGAGTCTGAACGACCAGCCACCCAACAGCCCTTATCTCAACTCTCCAGCATAGGTCGACGGTCGTTCCCGTTGTTGCTGCTCCTGCATCGAAGTCCGAAAGCCTCGAACCAAGCGGCTGGCCAAAGCCTGCACCCCAAGACAAGCTCCGAAGTCTGTGAAGCGTCGAATCTCACCCTGGAGCGGTTTGAAGGATGTTCGCCGTCGGCTGTTGTGGGCCGGAGGTATGAAGGACTGCGACCTTCAGAGGCATTTTGGAAGGTTTCAGGCTTCTGTGATGTTCGCTGCAAGCTCTGAGTATGCTGAGTTTTCAGTAGCGGATTTGCAGTGTCATGACGCGAGCCGACCTCTGCGCTCAACCTAAACACAACTCTCTATAAAGTCTAAGCTGCTGTACACCCTGCAGCCTCAACGACTCCGCCGAACCACGTCTTACATTACGGGGTGCGAGGGGCAATCTGCACAGCTGTGGCGCCTCAGGTCCCGCAGACATTTTTGCTGGACGGGCTGCCAACATCACTCGCTGTTAGCCGACCCATCTTAGCAAGGATGCACACCATTTTGGAAGATCGGCCTTTGAATTTTGCTTTGTAGCCCCGGGCAGGGGCCGCATCATGAGCATCATTGATCTCCACGCCGTCCTTGCTCCGTGCATAGTAATGTCGTTATCACGCTCCAGTCCCAACTCTCGGCCCAGCCTACCGTGGGGAAGCCTCAGAAAGAAGTCTAAATACCGCTGAAAGCTTTGCCGGACATACGCCTGGTCGACGGGCCGGACTAAATCCAAAGTCCGAAACGAGGGCAGCAACCCATCGCTTGCGGGAGAGCTTAATCTTCACCCACAGCTTGGTTTCGAGGCTCGGTTTATGGTTGTGCGCCAATTGTATGGGTCTCAAGTACAAGGGCCTGGAGGCTTCAGTTCAACAAGACAAGAGCACTGCCCCCACAGGAACCCCCGGAAGGTCCGTACAGGGTTTATGAGGGCGAGTACAAGGTTTCTTCGGCTTTTCAGGTCTACAATGTATACAAGGGGTTTTAGCGAGGGCTTTGGGTTCGGAGGGGTTCAAAGTAAGATTTCGTATGATTGGTACTACCGTAAGAGGGTTATAGGCAATATTTACAATGATTATGTCACGTCGTAATATGATATGTAGTAGTGTAAGCGGGTTAGAGGCAATACTTAGTATGACTATTCATGCTCAGAGGGGTTCTAAGCAATATCTCGAATGATTAGTATTTCTTTAAAACGATTATAGGCAATACTTAGTATGATTGCTTGTGCTCAGAGGGGTTCTACGCAAAAATGGTATGATCAAGTTGTACGGCAGAGGAAAGAGAAACACTGTCCTGTTAATCAGGGGGGGGGGGTTCTCTCTGCATCTGCGCGCATAAGGTCCCGAAGCTGTTTGTTGACCACTTGCAGCCTTACCCGACAGAGCTCTCCGAAGGACCTTCCGGCTCGGCGTGGCCAAATAACCACTGCGCACCTGACCGGCAGGGTCTTTGAACCAGGTATTGGCTGTGGAGCTCGGAGATTTTGGTTATGGGGCGTGAGGATTAGAGCATTGTGATGCGTGTGGCCACCAACTCAGCTGAAACCTCGAAGCCTAATCCAGACCCAGAAACTCTCAACATCGTGTAGTCTTTATAGACCGACAGACTTCGGATCACTGAGCCGGTTTTATGCTCAGGAATAGAAATTTAAGGTTCATGCAGAATTTCTGGAGTTCATGACTGTAGAGCAAGTTATCCTTACAGGTGTTTGGTGGTGGTCAGGGGTTCCGGGCTTCAAGTTTCATCATGACTTAGGTCTTAGGTGGCTTGGACCGTCACGTATCCGGTTGCTGATAGTCGGCCGTGCTCCGATCCTGAGTCCGATACACTTAAGTTCCAGGAGCAGTTCATATTCAGAATCTGCAGCAGTGGACCGACCGCCCAATTTTTCCACATCGCTGGGTATTGCAAGGACACCCAGCACCCAAAACCTGATCTGAATCTGAGGCATGCGTTCAATGATGACAACCACTGCGACCTCACAGCAATGGCCAGTGACACGGCTGTAATTCTCGTCAGGGCCGGCTTCACCAACTGCAGAGCAAAAGAAGAAGCGTTACAATGACCAGCAAACGGACGAACGCAGTGGCATAGGCGGCAAAGCATTTTTAGATTCGTCTTCATAGTGACGATCCGAAGCAAAAAAATACACGACGAGTGTGTCGCGGGCTTGTTCTTGTAATCGCAACGGTGGAAACATGCATCGTCGCCCAGGCAACAAACAGCCACAGCCAAAGAAGTAAAGGTATGCCTCCTCTTCCTCCTCCTCGTCTTCGTCGTATGAGCAGCAGCAGAAGCAAGAAGCATTGCCAGCGGCAGCAGTAGTGCCAGCAGCTGCGGCAGTGGCAGTAGCAGTCGTCGTCGTCGTAGTAGTAGTAGTAGCAGTACTAGTGGTTGTGGTAGTGGTAGTATAATGGAAGTGGTGGTGGTAGTAGTAGTAGTGGTTGTGGTTGTGGTGGTGGTGGTGGTGGTGGTGGTGGTGGTAGTAGTAGTAGTAGCAGTAGCAGTAGCAGTAGCAGTAGCAGTAGTATTAGTAGTCGTCGTCGTCGTCGTCGTCGTCGTAGTAGTAGTAGTAGTAGTAGGAGTAGTAGTAGTAGTAGTAGTAGTAGTAGTAGTAGGAGTAGCAGTAGCAGAAGCAGAAGCAGAAGCAGTAGCAGCAGCAGCAGCAGCAGCAGCAGCAGGAGCAGGAGCAGGAGCAGGAGCAGGAGCAGTAGCAGGAGCAGTAGCAGTAGCAGTAGCAGTAGGAGTAGGAGAGGAGTAGGAGGAGTAGTAGCAGTAGTAGTAGTAGTAGTAGTAGCAGCAGCAGTAGTATTAGAATTTTAAAATGGTACTATAAGCAGTCCTGGCAATCCTCGT